TCACTACTGACCTGGATCAAATTTGGACTGACATCCATGATTTATAAGCCAAAGAGTAAAGAGAGGAAGCAAGACGAGGGTGCAATAGGTATAGCATGCTCCAGTGGTTTGCCTTAGCATGCTGCCAACAACCAGGTGATTATTCACGCTGTTAATGTTAAATAAGGTCTCTGCTGCCCCTGTTCATTAGGAATCCTGACTCCAGAATATGGATGGGCATTACACATTGATATTAGGACATGAGCAGACAATATTTTACTGTCTCATCCACACCTCTTCTGGTGTCAGGGATGCAGCTAGGGCTGTCCAGAATATTGAGCTTCTGTGGCTGCAGAAGAAATATTAGCAGGCTGATAAATATTTCAAGCTCCAGGGATGGGTTGAGTGCATGCAGAGGAAGCAGCATTGATATGCTCTTGTGCCCATCACATTAATCTTGGGGGAGGGGAGGGTAACCAAGCACATTTGCAACTTCTAAAGATCTGGTTGGACTCAGCAAGGCAACGGCTCCAGCAGGAGGGAAGACAAAGAGACAACAGTCTGACGTGCAGTGAGCCTGGCTGGCTTTGTTACAGGGGGTTGATTGAGAAGGCCCAAGCAGGTCATTGCCCTTCTACAGAAAGCTCTTCTCTCATCCTCTCTCTCTGCCCCTTCCTGCTTGCCACAGCTCTTTCGAGCTCTACTCCTTGGTGCTGAGCAGCATGGAGTTTCCTTGCAAGCCCTAGTACCACTAACCAGCTGGGCTTTCACTGCTTCCCTTCATTCAGATTGCTTCCCCTATCAGCTGCAGTGGATATTCTGGCTGAAATCCACAGCTGGCTCCACTTGGTCAGCCAGCATTGGGAGCAGATATATGGACTCCTGGTGATTCCGGTTCTCTGGAAAAACCAAACTCAGCCCAGGAGGTCTAGTGGTGCCACTGGAACTTGTGCTGTGGCAGAAAGGAGGGAGAGAGCTGAAGAAAGGAAGAAGGGGGAAAAGGAATGAATGGGGCAGGGTCAAAGGCAGACACTGAAGTGTTTGCCCTCAGACGTAAATCAGAGTTCTGTATTGTGTCTACGGGGGATTATTTTCTTCAGTAGATTAATATTAAATAAATGCATTATCACTACAGGCAGTCCCCGACTTACGCGGATCCGACTTACGTCGGATCCGCACTTACAAACGGAGCTTTCTCGCCCCGGAAGTCGGGGCGAGAAAGCCCCGTTCGTAAGCTGCTCCAGTGCCCCTGGTCTGCTGGAGACCGTCTCCAGCAGACCAGGGGCACCAGGCAGGTTCCCGCGCTTCTGAGGCTTTGCCAGAGCAAAGCCTCAGAAGC